TAAGAATATAGTTGAAATTTTGATCCATTATATCTCCCTTGATAGTGATATTGCCGAGTGTGATGCACTTGACCTGTGATCTGAGCATGTTTCAGTCCATAAGTCTGCAGTTTGAATCTGTAAGTAGAAGACCCATGAGGGCCTAGTTGCTAGTAGGTTTCTCCCATTAATATTTTCCATCACCTTACATTCTTGAAAACGATGTCAGAATATGTCCCCTAGAATGAAATACATATTAGTAGTTCTGCAGACGAGTGAAATAATGACTATCATAGATGAAAAAATCCAAAGTCATCTCCACAACTTTCATTGAAATGATCATTTCAATAAAAGTTGTGGAGATGACTGGGTTTTTTCATCTATGAACTACACCACTCCACTTTGAGTTACCATGGACTTCTTCCAAAGATTAATCACTATCAAATGATTCTCTTATGAAAGACACAAGGGAATCAGCTAATCATCATTACAGAGTATATCATATGAATGATTCAATAGCAATATAATGTTCAATATTATAATAATTATCATTGAATCCTATTTTTGACCATTAGAAATAGTAAATATTAAAGAACACCATTGTATTAGTCAAGCTAGATGTTTAATGCTTTAGTAGGACCACTTTTATTTGTAATATATCTGGATGATCTGATCAAAACAGATGTTTTAATATTAATTATGTTAATATTGACCAATTAGAAAATACTCAAGTGAGATTGAAGGGCTTCATATATTTGTGTGCTAGCTCCATTTCTCTAGATTTTTGGAGATTCTCCTTTTTTCTATCAACAAAAATATGAATATTTGTCAATATAATCATAGAGAAACAAATCAGATGATTTGTCCCAAATTGTGTTGCTGAAAATTTCACTGGTGAATACCCAAAAAAGAAATGTCAGTGACACCTTGTTTGAAAAAATATGTGCTAATATATAAGAAAAATATTGTATTTTTACTTTTGATGTACTGGGAACGAATCTGCTCCCATTCTCAATAATACTGAGATGTGCCAACTGACAGAAAACTGTGAGAAACTGCGCCGAGAAGAATTCCTGTATTACCGTACCCTATACTTTCAGTGACCATCAAAGTTTTTGGTGACCTGATAACAATTTGGGAGAGATCAATAATCTAACTTTTCTATAGATTTTTTCAAGATGAATCCTTTAGTAAAACACAAAAAAAAAACTACATCACATATAAAAGACTAATATACAGGGTGTCATATAACTATTGGAACAAAATATGATCTAATATGCCTTCATAAAAAATATTGCTGTGGAAAAATATACAAATATACAAAATGCATTCACTGAGAAGAAATGTGATTTACCAGCAACAATCATAATATATGACAGTCTAAAGCACATAATTCATGAAAAAAATAATATTTGAAATTCCCTTTCCAGACTTCGTACTGTTCAATTGCGTTTTTCTCGAAAATGGATGAAAATATCATTGTCAAACGGGAAGTACCAATATTACATAGAAATGATATTTATGTTGTATTTTTTATTCAAAATCACTAGGAAGTTTCGTCAAAAAAAAGGATTAATTCACGTGGCGTCCCCTGTAGCAAAAAACCGAGGGGAAAACCGCGGTCAAAATTGTGTACGCCAAACTTCAATTTCACAAGGAATTCAAGGAATTTGAAGGAATTCCAGTTGTTTGAACACCAGAATTATACCGCACTTCAGACAAGGAATTCCAAGAAACTCCAAGGAATTCCAGGGAATTCCAAAGAAATCCAAGGAATTCCAAGGAAATCCAAGGAAATTCATAGAAATCCAAGGAAATTCAAGGAATTACGAGGAAATCCAAGGAATTCTGAGGAAATCCAGAGAATTCCAAGGAATTCTAGTTGTTTGTACACCAGAATTCCACTGCTGTTTACCCCTCGCAAAATTTCAACGTCCTGTATCTTTTTCCACAGCAACATTTTATTAGGGCATATTCGGTCCCATTGTCATATTTTGATCCAAACAATCCGCCCTCAGCCGTTACTCCCGATCGAGGGTAACGCCCCAGCTTATCTCCCAATAGTTATGACTCACCACTCACCCTTTGTTATAAAAATATATTTTTTGTGCAATTCTCGCGAGAAGTATACTTGTTGCACTGTATGGTTAGATTCATACTTTCTGCAATATACACTTTTTGCACTATTTAATCAAATAACTATTTTGTAACTGATATTGTTATTCTTTTTGTGATTATTTAAAATTTTTATTGATGAAGGCTCAGGCCATAGCCTATAATACTCTTGTGATTACTGTGTTTTTAGGAGAAGTCTTGAATAAAAAAACGGCGAATAAAATGAATTTTTATCCAGTCTCCAGAATTTCAATCAAGCTCAGAGCATTTTTTTGTCTATAATCGAAGCTTCCAATCTTCAAGGATTCAGTCTCAGAACTACATCATATCATTATGTAATGATGATCTTTATAATTTTGTCTCATCATAGTCTTCTTCTGCTTAAATGAACTTGGTAAATCTTAATAAATGTTCTGAATTTTTATTACCAAAGGAAATCATATAGAAAATTCTAAACCTAGCTTGGTTTACTGCAATAATAAAGATGAAATTATGTGAGTATACATACACAACCAATATTACCTATGTCCTATCTTGAAATTTATTTGGACTTATGGTGAACATTTGGATTATAAAAGATGCCTCTTTAGTTAAATGCTAGCATGACTTCTTGAGACCAGAACAGAATAATCAAACACCTCTTAACTAAAAAACCCATTTCATCCATCACAAGACTATACCTATTCCCATATATAATGAAAATGTTCATACCAATATAGCTACATCCAAGTTTTCAAAGTATTCAAGAAAATCTTGAAACTTTTGAAACTTGAAATTTTCATATAGTTCAAGTAATTTGTTAAAACATTTTCTACAGACCTTTATGTGATACCCTGTACATCAAACATCCTGTTGGTTTCTCTTGAAGAACATCTGAGAATTCAGGAGGGCTAGAGGTATGAAGAGACATAATGATCCTATACCTTTTTTATGGAGGGTGCTTCTGAAAAATGTGAACTATCTGAATTCATCCTGCAAAAATGTGATATCACTCATCTGTCTTAAAATTTCAATAATACTTGTATGGAGAAAGAAACAGTAGGATTATGTATAATAGCTCCAACTAACCCTGTTGATACAAAATCCACAAAACTTACCTAAATATCAAGATTAATTAAAATTAGAGGAATTCTACTTGGAGTACTTGTATTTATTGTTCCAAAAGTATCTACATTATTTATAGCTGCATACATTTTTGTATGTTTGTTGAATGGATCCGAAAATGAATCTACATTAGTCAAGACATTAGTGATAGCGATCAAGGATATCCACAAAAACCATAATGAACAATATTGAAAATGTTACATTTAGCTGACTTTGCCATACTTTCACCTTGACTTTCACCCTCTGAACACTGTTCAATGATTCAAGCATTCACCAATTCAATTTATTTATATTTTAAATAATATATCAAGGTTCTTTAATAATTATAAGTATGGAAGATTATTGGCCTTCCTCATTCACATGGTCTAAAGAATACAGACCATTTATGTATATTATATAGAACAATAATCTCTTAAACTGACCTATTTTTTACAATTCTATTACATGGTGAATATGCCACCATTTTAGTTCACTCATGAAAGACTTTAATAACTTACCTCAAATCAGAGTATTCACAAGGTTTGTGTCCACTACTGAAGAGCACCCTTTCCAAGATGTGAAGTTGTCCCATGATCAGTTTCCGTCAATTCCACAAGGAACAGCATAATACCAAAGAAGATATTCTTTGATAATACATTGTTATTATTCCATATTGTTCAATCATTTCATGAGTGAGTATTCAATGGCACTCAATAGTAGGTAGTTGGTGTTTGATATTTATGATCTCTAGAAATAAAACACCTGAATAATATATGTAGATGTTCAATGACTAATTCAAGAATTGTACCACCAAAAATAAACACAGCAACTAATTACCTTGCAAGGAAAAGATTAATCTTTACAAATTCGTCCGGAGCACAATGATCGTTCATGTCATGGAATTTTGCACCAACTTCAAGCCTCCTAATTTCACCGAGCGGCTGTTCACGACACGTTTACACATGGTTTAAATGCTAATTGCTAATCACAGATGAGGTCTAATCTTCAATCCTTCTTCAATCAATAATTATAGGAAATTACAAGTCTAAGGAGTCAGCTAAGACTATCATAACCTATGATCATAACAAGCAAAGCAAAAGTGCATTTGGCATTGACGCATTGACCACGGAATTACGGCTAAGCCGTCAAGGCAATGTAGGTATCTGTACCAATCTGTCACCAGTGACATCTCTCAATTTCTAGGTTAGCATAAAAACAGTTCAAATTTGTACAATAGATGTCGCGGGATACGGGGAACGAGTAGATTCCTAAACATGATTTCCGCTGTATGGGCAGTCATGATCAGGTCGGCAGCTTACTTGATATTTACTATTTAGCCGTCATTGGCAGGACTAATAAATCAGTCATCACCTGCTTCTTGACTAGAACCTGTGTCTAATTGCTAACCCACCTGATTACGAAACGTAACACATATATGATCAGATTTAAATCTCATCTCAAAGAAACACACAATATTCTCCATATTTTTCTCAATAAATTCTGCAAGTATTTAGCTCTCACAAAAATAAAATTATACATGAATACTAATGAAAGTAATAAAAATAAATAAACATTGAACATTTAAAGAATTCCGGGATTTATGGAAGAGGTACAGAGCACAAATATATTCAAGAAAGAATGCCTACACATCATCCATGGCTTCTGCAATTTTCAAAAGAATTTCAGACTTCAGCAGAATTTTTGATTTTTGTTACTTTTTATTTTTGAAAATGACTCTGCCATAGAGAGGGCAAAGTGGTTATCTTCTTTGTTGACTCATTCACACAGATCATTGGAACTTTGTTTTATAAATGTGTTTATACTTTGCCCAATGCTACTACATTGTGCAATGAGATTGTTCACAGAATCATCATTCTTTTTCTTTTTTGTTGCATTGCGCTCTTGGCGTAGAGTTCCTGCTTGAGATGTGCTGGTACGAGGAGTGTCAGTGATAGATTGTTTTTTGCTGGCACAAGGAGTGCTAGTCTTAGATTGGTTAGTGCTGGAATGAGGAGAAACAATAGTGGGTTGGTTATCCATGGCAGTAGATGATTGAGACACAGTTTGAGAGGCAGGAAATACCTTAGTGGATTCTTCATTTTGGCTACCCTCTTCCACAAGCACACCATCTTCTTCAACTTCAAAATTTTGCCATACATCAGAAGGCATCAGATCTCTCTTAAGTGGTATTTTTTTAAATATATTTGATGTTGTTCTACAAGAAGATAATGTTCCATTCCAACTCTAATCAATCAATAGCAGCAATTTACCTCCTTTTCTGAGTAAAAGGGGCCAGAAACCCCATTTTGTCAAAAAGGGGCTATGTTCCACAGTAAATTGCAGAACCAGATGGCAATGTTTTCATGGTTTTTCTTTCTCGAATATATTTATTTCTGAGGCTTTTTTATAATTCTTGTCATTCTTCAACTGAAACAAAGATAAAATTAGATAGGTAGGTATGTTGTGTTTTGTGGTGCCTATGATGCATTTCTACATTCTATGCAAGACTGTCATAAGTGTCATTTTGTAATCTGTCAAATCATATGTCACTGTCGAAGTCAGTAGTTGAAATAGAAGGTTAAGGTTGTTGCACAAAAATTCTTCACGTGTTAAGATTGTAGTAATGAAAAGATTAGAATAAAAATCCATTTATTAAAAGGTCATCGTAAGACATCTTTATTTCATAAAGCCAAGTCCTGATATCTCAAAAGGTTATGGGCCCAGATATACGTACATCTAGGTGGAATTAAAAGTGGCTTGGCTAGAAAGAGAGTTGAAGTAATCACTGTACGTAGACCTCCACGTAGACGTTAACGTACGAAAAATAACGTTTACGTATTGTCGTTAAATTGAGTTGAAGTCGCCACTTTGGTCGTCACTGTCATCATAACGTAATAATACATTTTGTTTTCGGTTTGTATTGGTCATTTTTGGTTGTGTGTTTAGATTCGAACATTTATGTCCTGTCATTACAGGACTCCTTGATGCAGAACTCGTTGGTGATCTCGAATTTGATAATTTTGACTCATCGGCATATTTTGAGTATAGTTTGGTTGACGTACGTTGATAATTAAGGTATACGTGAAGGAACGTGAGATAACGTACACCCGTAAGCCCACTAACAACGCAAACGTGAAGAATTGGAAAATGCGCATGCGTAGCTGTCAATTTCTACGTTTACGTTAACGTTCATGACAACACTTCAACTCTCTATTAGTATTTCACGTTTCGGGACTAAACTCTGGAAGTAACGGGCAGCAGGTGGTCAAACTCTGGAAGTTCCTGGAATCATGGCAATGCAGAATTCACTGGCGGTGACCCTGAAACCATTTGATGGAACAAATTTTTCAAATTGGGAATTTCGTTTGAAGTTGAGTTTGGAACAGAATGAATCACTGGAAGTACTGGAAGAAAATCCTCCAACTGAGGCACAACATCTAGCTTTGTTCAGGAAGTAAGATATTAAAGCTAAAAATATACTTGTACAGTGTCTAGCAGATAATGTCTTGGAAACGGTGAAAGACAAGGAAACGGCAAAGGACATGTATGAGACACTGAGAAGCACGTACACAAAGAAAGGTTTATCAATACAAGTAGACTTACAGAAGAAATTGAGAAATATGAAATTTAATTATCGTGGAAGAGGTAGCTATAGAGGAAGAGGTATAACTATCATGGAAGAGGTAGCTTTCATGGAAGAGGTAGCTATCATGGAGGAGGAAGCTCTTATGCACGAAGTAGCTATCATGGTCAAGATAGAGGTGGTCAGTCTATGTCATTATTTCCTTACAAATGTGGCAAACCAGGACATAAACGTAATGAGTGTAGAGAAAGCTCAAATGTAGCAGACTGTGAGAAAACTGATACAGAGGTCTCTGAAGAAATTGCATTTATTGCTGATGCAACTGAACTGCCCTTAGCAACAACTTGTGAAAGTGGTTTTTCTAGTATTGTCAACACCACTCTATCTGCCACTGATAAAGATAATATGTTGTTATTCATTGTTGACTCTGGGGCAACAAACAACTTGGTGAACAAACAAGCTAGTGCTATTTAACTGAAATACAGTCAGTAAATTATACCATTAATGTTGCTAAGAAGGGCTCCGCAATCAAAGTTTTCAAGAGTGGAAATTTCGAGGGAAATTTACATGTAGAAGAAAATGAGAGTGGAAGAAAATTCAAGCTGAAAAATGTACTTCAAAGTGATGTCTTGGAATATAATCTATTATCAGTAAAAAGAATTGAAAATGAAGGCTTCAAGATTATATTCGAGAATGGGAAAGTGAAAATATGTACAAAGGACAATAACATGACATTTTTGAAGAACAATCGTCAAAAAATTGTATTTACAGTATACCTTGTGTTTGTGGAAAGTTTTATACAGGTGAAACCAAGAGACCTCTTTCAGTAAGGACGAAAGAACATAAGTACAATATAAAGAAAAGAAACATCGATAAATCGAAACTAGCTGAACATATCCTTACTGAAGACGGACAACATATGGCAGAGTGGAATAATATTAAAATTATTGGAAAAGAAGATAACAACCAGAAGAGAAAAATCAAAGAATCTGCTTGCATTCTTCTGAATGGAGACAATAGCATTGCTTCTTGTTCAGTTGATATAGACAGAACATGGTATTCACTACTAAAATCTGAACATGAAAATGGTAAATTCAAGATCAATTAATGAAAACATCCTGTAACTCATTTGATTGCCAACGTCACCAATTGTCATTGAAAACTGAAAAGCTTCAAGACATTATACGACTTCGCTATAGAAATAATCTCTTTTCATGTTGAAAACGGGAGCAGAACCGGTCCCGAAACGTCCAAAGATAAGTGAAAATTTGATATTTTTCTATATACCTTTATTTCCCTTCTCCAAAAATTTTTTCAATACAAATTGTCACTGACAAGCTAGTGAATTTTTCTTTTAGGCTCTCTGATAGGAAAATTCTTTAAACGCAGTGACATTTTGGGGCAAATCATCTGATTTGTCCTTACTACACGTATATTGAGATAATATTCATATTTTTATTTTATAGAAACGAGGAGAGAAAATCCCAAAAAATTCGGAATAATGAACAATATACCGCCCTCCCAGGTAACAAGCTGACGTCATTTGTACGTCATTATCATGTCAGGCCTGACGTCAGGATGACTTCCAAAATGACGTCATAATGACGTTTATATGACCTTCTAAGTCAAAGACGAATGACGTCATTTTCATGTCGTCAAAATGACGTCATCCTAATGACGTCAAAATGACGACCTCCTAATGGCGTCAAAATGACGTGATCTTTACGATTATTTATATCACTGAAATCATCTGCATGTTTCAGTTCATTTTGTGCTATTTCGAAATTTTCTGTAGGTAAAAAAAACACTGTTGCATTAGGGTTGTTTCAATATTATCAGAAAAGATGAGATTTTTTTTTATAATTATATTGATGTTCCTTTACCACATTAAATGCAAAATAATATTATAGGTAGGTACTATAAATACCAGTTTCATAAAATGTTCTTTTTATTGGGAACTTATCCCATTCGGATGATGCACTCAAGAGATTTCTCAGAACCCTATGGTATTCCTTCAATGGCGTCCAATTCACATTCTGCTCTTTCGGCATACACCACTTGTCTAAAATAATGACCATGCTGCCATCCTCAAATTCTACTACTTTATATATGAATATGAATAAGTATGACCACCACACCACACAACATGGATAGCCGAATAACATGATAATGATGGCCTTCTATGTATTGTTATTTTGTTGTTATGGTCATCATGGCCGCAACGGCGAAGCGAAAGTGAACGGCTTGGCCACAGCCGTCTTCTGAAGACGGCTGTGGCTGTGGGTTGGCGCTGGCGGTCGACGTTCGCATGTCTGCGCAAGGTCCGTGCCGACCAATCAAATACAGTTCTCTACGCACTCTCCCGCTCTGATTTGAATTCGCATTCCGGAATAACAACGTTATAATCTTTTTATGACGTGACATTCGGTCTTATATTTTTAATAGCTATAGGGAGAATACTTTGCACAGAAGGTATATAATCAACAATTATCTCAGAGACCATCGAAAACACACATCTCGCACAGATTAGAGGAAAAATTATTATGAAGCATAATATATGATGAGTATATGATATATAACATAACTACTATCGTTTTCATATAACAGAGATGGGAAACTTCTTGATTATGGATTTTCTTTGATGTAGATGACTCAATAAATGATGGTCATAATTAGTCATGAAAATGACCATCAGATGACGTCATATTGACGACATATCAAGGACGTCTATATAACGTCATATTAAGTTCGTCAAAATGACGTCATTTTGAGCTCATATGACGTCAATGACCATAAATGACCATATATTGACGTACAAATGACGTCAGCTTGTTACCTGGGCTGTAATTGGAAACTTGCGAGAATACTGGAATTCCACCGAGGTCGCGATAATATTGCTCGAGTTGCAAAAATAAAATGCGAAGATGGGGTCTATACCCGCCCTCTGGTGAAGTTGTGCCTCTTGCCAGATGTCTAGTTATGTTTCTACACATTGTTTTGCTAAGTTTTACTTAACAAAACGGTGGGGTAGTATGTTTAATATTAGTTTAGGTAGTAGTTTATTATAGTTTAATTATTGATTTAAGTTAAGATATTCAATCAAATCCACATCAGAATATGTAGTGTTAGAAGAAGCTGTCGTCCTGATGATATTCAGTTCAGTCATTTTCGCGCATTAATAAAATCACGTTGATCTCTGTGCTTATGGTGCGCATGTGTGGAGTATGGAGTATGGAAGATAAGGAACCGAAAAACCAGTATGAAATGGGTTTTTCGAGTAGTACTCACCGCTAAAGACTCCGCGTACCGAATAAAATTCAAAATCAACCGCAACCTTCTGTTATAAAATTCATGACCCGCAAGTGAAGTGATTCGTACTTCGAGAATAACAACCCTGATAGGTGATTAGAGCAACAGGGGTCCCTTCGTATCCAAGCAGCCATCCAGGATTTATGGAGAAAAAATAAGGTAAGAGTGAAACGTGATTTTGCGTCTTTCATATAAGAATTAGGAGAATCAGTGCATATTCTGAGATACAACAATCACAGTTTACAATTTTACATAACAAAACCCTAACAAACAGAACATGTAATTGCCAACTAGATGTTAAATATTTTGTATATTCTTTCCTTTTTTTCAATTGTTATGAAAGTATTGTAAACGAATGAACAATTTTGTGTATTGCAGTGTCATCATAGGAGTTTGATTTTTATATGAATAAT